CCTTCCTGCCTCTAGCCCCTGGTGTCTTCTTCTTCACCTCCCTCTCATACTTGCTCCAAGGCCATTCTCCTCCACAGTGCTGTCCCTTGTTCCTGGCTTGATCAGGGAACTTGACCCACCTGATCGTGATCCTCTGGACTTTGATTGTAGTCCTGAGACTGCTCCCTACCTACACACTGACCTTGGACAATGCATCCTCACCTTCGTCCTGCAGGCTGACCTTGAAAGCCCAGCCATCATAGCTGATTTGTCTGCGATTGGACACTCACCCTTACTCTGCTGATTTCTCCATGGTTCTACTTAATAGTTACACCTCCAATTCCTTCCTGTCCACATCAGAGACTCCCCTCTGCAGCCCTGACCAGAATGACCTGAAGTTCATCTTTCAGATACATGACCTACACTGCTGGGACCTTTGGAAGCGTCCATAGTCACCATCAGCATGGGAGTGATTGAGGAGAATTTAGGCAGTCCCAGAGCTATCCTCCTTAAACACACACACACACACACACACACACACACACACAAAGGCTAAATACAATCCATAGCAATAGGCAGTGAGAAAAGAAGATATAGACCCACTGGATTACTTTTTTTTTCCTTCACTATAAGGACATGGAATGTAATCAGCAGATTTTTTAAAAATCCCAGAAGACAAAACACAAATCAAGGACTTGCAGCCAGTGAAAGACTACCCTAAGATGTGGAAGGACTATAGATGATGCTTATGGCTCTATCTCTGGTAAACAGGAGCCAAGTTTCCTTTGCTGTACTTGTGCTAACCAACAGACTGGTCTAGAATAGCACTGGGAAATCTTGTTTCCATATAAATGTACCAGGCTGATTTTTTATATATGTCATTTCTGAATTTTATTCAAATGTTCAATTAGATAACATAGGGGTAAGAGGTCTCACACTGCAGGTGTTTCCAGGAGTTTGGGGCAAGTGGATATCCAGAGAAGATTCAGCCAACAGCAGCTGTGCTTCAGAGAAACTAAATTCTTAGGGAGGAATGGGGCAAATGTTCTACAAGCCCATCTCCATAGGAAAGGAAACTAACTTTTCAAGGGCAGCTTTGATGTGCCAAGTGCTTGGCCAGGTTACTAGTAACTGAAGTTGTTTCTGGATGATCATTAACTGTATGAATGAGTGAAAACATGAATGAGGCCATCGGCAAAGGCTCAAGGCAGAGACAAAGATGGCATCGTGGCCTCAGTAAGAACTAAATGTACTGAATCACAACCATAGAGGAAACCCAGCACAAGGAACTCTTGTGGGGGGTGGGCAGGGTATTTGATGGTAAGGGGAAACACATCAAAATCCCAGCCTTTAAGCCAATGGGCCCGGTCCTGTGATGTGCCATTGTTTCCTTCTCTGTGGGTTTACTCACATAAGAAGCTTCCTACACATATATAAATACACACACTCATGGGCAGGATATCAGTGGAGTTATTCCTGTTGCTGTTATTGTCTGTGTGCGTGTGTGCTTAATGATCATAATACCATTTTGAAAACTTTTTATGCCTGATTTTTATTCCTCAGCTTTCAGCTCAGGGTTGAATAGCAACTTCAACAAAATCCAGACAGTCATCTTCTGCTAGGGGAATTAGGGTGTATGTTCACTACAATAAATGATTCCAAGATAAACATACTCCTTTTTTTTTTCCTAATCCTGGATGGTGATGCATCCTCTTTCCAATACAAAAACTGGGGAGTCTGGCTGTATTTAGTTTGTCTGATTGCTTTTAAGAGGGGGGACAGTTTGGCTCTGAAAAACTATGCTCCTCTATTTATTAAAGTGTCAATAATGCTCAGTCCAGGCATATCGACAGTAGATTAGCTGGGGCTGAGTCTGTGTACAGGACCAGTGCCTTTTTTAACCCAGCTTGTTTCCAGATCAATACAGCCATCAGCATTTGAAAATTAGCCCAAGATGAGATTCCAATACTTGAGGTGGTGTGTCATGCTAAGAGGGCACACAGCCAAGTCACAGATGTATGCACCTAGCCGGGGATGAGATATTTTCCATTAGCTTGGACATGAGCAGAGATTGATGGAGCGTCCACCCCCAAGCCCGTCCCATCCCCCGCCCCCACAGGTACTCCACCTTCTCTCTGGGAGTCTACCTATGACTTCTGGGCTGGAAATTCAGCCATGTGCTTCCATAAGTATTTATTCAAAGTTCATTTCCTGTAAAGTGCTTTCCTAAGTTCTGAGGGAAGGAGTATGTAGCTGTTTGTGTGAAGGAAGGAAGGGTGGATTAAAAAAATAACAAAAACATTGTCGGTGTTTTCAAGGGGGAATCAGTATTTTTCACTATTCTTCCCATTTTCCAGTTCCATAAAGGTCTTACTTCCTAAAGCATATATCTTTAATAGTGACTAGTTCTTTTTTTTTTAAGGATTTACTTACTTATGCATACAAGAACTGGGGTACAGGCCAGAGGTGTGGGGGTGAGATTAACCAGAGACAGAGTGGGGAACAGAACAGACAGATTGACTGAAATACATTGCTGAGGGGAGCAGCAGGCTAGTCAGGAGAGGTCTGCTGCACCATGTGGGTAGCTCCCTGGCTGGCCGGAGATCAAACTTGTGATGCAGAGGTTGCGGATAGCTTCATAGTGCTGTGCTTAACCACTTGCACCACCAGGGAGGCCCAATAGTGGCTAGTTCTTAATCAGTCTCTGTCAGTGCCCAATGCTCTCCACGCTACAGTATGTGTATGGAGGTGGGGGGCGTGAGATATGATGGGGGCATGGGGAACATCTTCAGAAGCACCCCTGGTATAAACTGTAAATGATGACACTGGAGCATTTGCCAAACTTCCTCACAGAGTAGTGATTCTCAGATTTTGGGGGCCAACTATCCACCTGAAAAATATATTTTACATTAAAAATCTTGCAGGAGGAAAGGGGGTGAGTAAATCAGGTAAAAGAGTCAACTCTAGGGGCCTCCCTGGTGATGCAAGGGGTTAAGTCTCAATACTATGAAGCTATCTGCAGCCCCTGCAGCACAAGTTTCAATCCCTGGCCAGGGAGACCTCTCCTGTCTTGCCTACTGCTCCCCTCCACAGTGTATTTCAGTCAATCTGCCTGTTTTGCTCTCCACTCTGTCTCTGGTGAATCCTCTCATCACCACCCCCACACCTCTGGCCTAGACCTTATAGCTCTTGTGTGCATAAATAAATAAATCTTTTTTTTTTTTAAAAAGGTCAACTGTATGGTGGAAGATAGAATTGGACTTTAAATGGTGAGCTTAATGTAGTTTAGACATTTAATGTAGTTTAGACAATGTAGTTTAGTTGATTTATCATAATGCACACCTGAAACTTATAATGCAATATTACTTTCAAAAATATTTTAGAACATAAACACACTGAAACAAAAATTGCATGTAACCATACCTGCTCTGCTATTTGTAATACTCCAAGATTTTCTGCACAATTCTATTTCTTTAAAAAATATCATTTGCACTCACCAGTTTAAAAAATCTTATTTATAGAACCAATCCAAGAAAAAGCCATCAAAAATTTCCTCTTGAAAAGAAGAAAAAGAAAAAAATATATATATGTGTGCATAAATTTTAGCATGACCAAGTTTCGCGACGGCATGAGTATTTCAGATGTCCTGCTGCTGTAATCTCTGACCAGAGAGAGTGCTGGTATTCTCCTCACTCTTGTGGGGTCTGCTTCTCATTATTGCTCCCCACCTCCCTCTTCACAGTGGGCATCTGTGTCCAAGTTGTGTTTTCTCCTGCCTTCTTACAGTGAGTGAGCTTTCCTTTCACTCCCCAGCCTGTTTGAGTGCTTCCTCACTGAGCCCCCTTTCAGCCTTCATTTCTCTTAGCAACCATCCGAGGACACTCCACTTCTCTTGGGTCAGCTGACAGGAGGGGTGAAGGAACCCCTGAAGGAGGATTTATTGCACTGGACCTGCCATTGAGCTGGGTGAAGGGAACAGGGAATCACTTTGGGAATGAAAGAGCAATGGACAAGTCATTCTCCAGCCCTCCCTCCAGGATATAAGCTTCTGAGATAATTAAACAAGGTCTGTTGTAGAAGATGCTTTAAAAGCAACGGTATTTTGAAAAATAAAAGCAGCTAGCGCTTCAGGGCACTTTCAAGTGCCAGACCCTCTTTAAGTGCTTTCATCACGCATGTAAAATTCACTTGTCACCCAACAACTCACAATACTGACCCCAATTTACAGAAGGAGATGCTGAGGCACAGTGAGTGACTTGACTGAGACCGAGTGTAATTCTGAGCTTTTCACTCCTTGGTTAAGATTTGGCCACCATGGCTGAGTGTTGTCTGGTGCCTGAGGACCAGTTCTGCTTCGTGGAGAACAGGCCAGCACCCTTGGCCAGGCCTGAGAAACAGAGGGAGCAGAATGCAGAGAGAAGCCGAGTAGTGCAAACACACAACCTCAAAAGTGGGGTGGGGCTGCAGGAAAGAGAGGGGAAGTTGGGGTACATCCAAATCACAGAAGATCAGACACAGGAATACAGGGTGCTGTGGGTCAGAAACCCTGGGCCGGGAGGGATGAGAAGATGCCAGCGAGTTGCAAAGAGTGGACTTGGCCACGCGGGCTCTGTGCTAGGGAGGTGTCCGGAACATCTGTGTGGGCCCTGCCCCCTTTGCAGGCCGTGCCAATGTGGCATATGTGCAGCGCCAGAAAAGCATTCAAGGGTTGGTCTTAAAATAAAACAAACTTGGAATTGCATGGAACCTAAAAATTCTTAGAGGAGAAAAAAGCCAAGGAAAGCAATAATTAGAAGATAATTTTCTGAGAAAATATATTATTGGAACAAAAACAAAAAAAAGTCCTATTCAATGAGAAAATTATTTGAAAATTCAGCCTCTGATGGCAAAATGACAATTAGGAAGTTTTCCTGACCAGATGGGACAAACAGAAGCCATCTCCGATCAGGATTGCTGAAGGTATTTCAAACAGTTCCTCCCACTGAGCTGCACAATCACCCCATCCAGCAAGCCCCCCCTACCTTGCACTATGAGGTGCACCCTCGAGGTCTTGGGGTGGTTGTCCGTCTGTACAGAGCAGGTATACGGGCCCTCGTCATACACGTCCACATTCTGGATCTCGATGCTGTACTGGGTTTGGGTGTTGCTCAAGAGGACCACGCGAGGGTCCAGGCACCACTTGTCATTCCCGGCATAGAGGATGGTGCTGCGGTTCAGCCAGGCCACCCGGGTGACCCGGTTGTCAATTGTGCACCTGAAGGGAAGAACAGATGTATCAGTCAAGGGGGCAGAGGAGTAAGGGGGGCCACCCCTGTGCTGGCTTCAAGGCGAGGCCACCATGACTTGTTTCCACCCCAAACCCCTAGTGTTCATGCATGTTTCCTTTGTTGGACTTGTCCTAGGTGGCACTTTCTGGAACTCAGCAACAGATGTCTTATGTTTGGTTTTGTCTTTTTTATTTTTAACATTTTATTTATTTTTAATTAAGTTTTCCATAGAAGAACTGGGGTGTAGGCCAGAGGTGCAGGGGGTGGTGGTGAGAGGATTCACCAGAGACAGAGTGGGGAGCAGAGCAGGAAGATTTACTGAAACACACTGCTGAGGGGAGCAGCAGGTAAGACAGGAGAGGTCTGCTGTGCCATGTGGGTTAGCTCCCTGACCCGGGGTCCAACTCAGGCCATAGGGAAGATAACACTGAGACCTAACCCCTAGGCCACCAGGGAGGCCCTCTTAACATTTTAAAAGGACAGGTTTTTAGGAAAAGGACGGGGGGGAAAGGCACCTGCATAGTCACAGGTGGGCAGGAGAGAAGCTGGCCTTATGTGTCTATAAACTCAGAACCCTGGCTGTCTCAGACACCTGGGTCCTGAGAAGCTCAGTTTTAGAAGCTTCTAAAACCATGAGTGTATAGGACCACTTCAGATAAACTTCCATTACAAGCAGGGGCATCTTCAGCAAGCAGGAAGGTCAGGCCCTTCCAGCACAAGCCCTTGCTGAAAGCTCTCCATGAGGTAGATGGGATGATTCCGGACCTCGCTCAGTGTAAGTCACTCATAACAATCCTATGGGGAAGGTTGTACCAGTAGAGGGAATTGAAGAACAAAAGAGAAACTAAGTAATTCTCCCAAGTCACACAGATAAGGCGTGTTAGATAAGAAACTCAGATTTCAACTACTAAAAACTATTCTTCCCATCTCAGAATAGTGAAATCTGACAGAAGGCTTCTAAAGTCAAAACTAAATATGGACCACCCCCATTGCTATTTATTGTCATGATACCCAGGGGCATAGCTGTTCAATTACTGCTAGACTAAAGACATTTTCCAAAACCTTAAACTGTTTGTACATGTAAAAATAGTTTTCTTCTCTTTCTGTTTTGCACGTGGAGTCCCCAAATTATGGAAACTCCCTTCTCTTTCCTATTCTTGCAAAATCCCCAGCCTCTCTCCCACGCCCTAATCACATCTCTGTCTGTACTCATTTCCCTCTCTTTCCTACACCAAGCAAGTTCTGTGGCCTTAGGCTAAATTCACAAACACAGTGTCCTGATCCTAACTTTAATACTGGAAACAGCAATGCAGCATGGTCTGTATAATGATGCCTCAAATTGGTACATTCTTGTGCAGGGTACAAAATGCTTTTACATCATCCTGTCTCATTTGATTCTTGTAGCAAGTTTGTGAGATAGATGACCTTACTCACACTCTACTTAAGATGAGGACTATAGGGCCTCCCTGCTGACACAGGGATTAAAGTCTCTGCGCTATTAAGCTATCGCCAGCCACTGTGGCATGAGCTCAATCCCCCGCCAGGGAACTAATCCACATGGCACAACAGACCTCTCCTGTCTCACCTGCTGCTCCCCTCAGCAGTGTTTTTCAGTAGATCTGCCTGTTCTACTCTCCATTCTGTATCTGGTGAATCCTCTCACCTCCGGCCCCTGCACCTCAGGCCTACACCCCAGTTCTTCTATGCATAAATAAATAAATAAATAAATAAATCTTTAATTAAAAAAATAAAAGATTAGGGTTTGGAATGGTCTGTTAACTGGGCCCAGGTTAGAGATGGACTTGGATCTGTTCAGCCAGGGCATCTAACTCTCAGTCCTGTGTGCTTCTCAGAATGTACAATTCTGGGTTTTTCAGTTGAAAGGGACAATTGCTTCCATTGAATTCTCAAAATGATCTGTAACCATAAAAAGCATAGGAATGGCTGCTCAGCACCCCAGCTCCCCTGGCAGTCCCTCTCCAGAGGAGCCCTCTAGTACCCTGCATCTTCTCTGCTTATACTTGTGTAAATGTCACATGATCTTTCCAGGGCCCCTCAGACGCAGGTGGGAAGCCTTGCTGGGAGCTCCTATAGGGAAAACTGCTCAACCAGAAACACCTTTGCTCTGGTGTCCTACAAAATTTGTGCTGCTTATTGTGTTTTCTGGACAACGCAGCATGGAAATGATGGAAGATCTAACTAGGAAAAGATCAGTGGAGAATTTCTGGAAGACAGCATGAGCCACTTGCATCAGAATCACCTGAGGGGCTTGTTAGAGATTCTAACTCTCATTTCCCGTCTGACTGATTCAGAATATTGGGGAACCCAGACATACGTGTTTCCAAAAATATCTCAGTTGGAAATTTTGAAAGGAATTGGTATAGAACAGTATACCCAGGACCACACACACAATTTGTGCAGTTCAGTACAACATACAAATGCAGAGTATTCTAAGAATTATGAAGGTTTTCAAGATGGTGAGAGCAGAACATTTAACCACGTGCAAGAACCTAGGTGAATAGATGGGTAACAGACTCTACTGTGCTTATGAGTCTCCTTGGTTCTTTGCTGTCATCATATTCTGATGACAGCAGGGCTGGGGGGCACCTGAGATTCTGTATTATTAATGAGCTCCCCAGTGATGCCAGTGCTGATGGCCACTAGACCATTACTTAAGTAGCATAATCCACCGGTGCATCAGATCACATTAGAGTTTGAAAAGCATTGAGCTATCACTTCACTATGTGAAACTGTGGTCAGAAAACCATCAAATCAGCACCACTTGGGAGCTGGTTAGAAATGAAGACTCTTAGGCCTGACCTCCCGACGTAATGAATTGGAATCTGCTTTTTAGTAAGATTTCCAGGTAACTGGAATACATGAAGTTTGGACTGGTTGACAGTGTATATCAAGACTTCCCTCTGGGTTGTGCCTGGCCCCACCTCCTCCTATTCCCCGCAGGCACGATGTTCTGCCTATCAGGCTGCTTCACCTGAACGGTAGATTTACAACCATAGGACTTGAAATTCCATAAGAAAACACACTCCATAGCTGGCTTTGCTAGCAACATACTTGGGGCATTAATCATTTTAATAAATTTAAGGATGGTCACTGCTTTGACTTGCTTGGATCCAAGCAGAGAAATTGATTTAATTCATATTCATGGTGATTGTTATTGAGCACTTATTACTATATGCTATGTAACGTGCAAGCCTATTCCAGGCACTACTTCATCATCTCAGCAACTGGATTGGGTGCACTTATTATTGCCAATTTACAGATGGGGTTAAGAGAGATTAAAATATATTATCCACATAGCTGAGGTCACACTGATATTAAGCTGCAGAACCAAGATTCAGACCCAGTTTATTTTCCCCCCAAATTAAATGTACTTGAATATCCCATATAGAGCTTCCCCCAGGTCCTTTTAACATTTAAGTTCAACATGCATCAGAATCACCGGGAAGACCAAATAAAAATACAGATGTGGTCAGGAGATCACTCTTTGAGAATCATTAATTTAGATATCTGGGATGAGAGCAGCAGAGCGAGCGGGCACTTGGAAATGACTCTTGTTTGAAACAGTTTTCCATTACTTTATAGGAGAGAACTTTCTTGTAACCAATATGTTCTGGGAAGCCAGAAGCAGAGTCCTCATTATTTCTTCCCCAGCAGCTGAAATTTGACCAGATACCAGGTGCATGGCCATGGTGCAGGGAATGCTGATCAGCAAGCTCGACACTGCTTGAATAATTGTTGTGGATGCCCGCAATGGGGGCATCTCACAACCTCTTGATGAACATGAGAGGACTGTCCTGGGCTTTCTTCTGAGTGTCTAATTACTGGAAATTGACTGAAACAGAAGTAGCCTCACCACGCTGCACTGCACTTACAGGGCCAAAGACGTTCATTTACAGATACACTAACACTCCAAACGCAGCCAATTTCCAGCTCGGTTATGCAGCCCCTGTAATAGACTACACTGGAAAGTTGGCATAGCTTCAGCTGTGGTTTTGGGCACATCCAAGGTCATGTTTAGATGTCCAAACTGTCACTGCCAGGTATCAGTCTTGCTGAGTCTCCACAGCATTAACGTTGGCTTCTGCAGAGATGGATCACAAAAGTAACCTGGCAGCCAGCTCTCGTCACCCTCTCATACCTGCCCCCATCTAGCTGTCTCATTTATCGAGTCTCTACAACAAGGCAGGGGATACAATTCTCCTGGGCTTAAAAGAAATGTGAAAAAAGAGCTTAAATGCTCTCCCCACCAGAGTGGTGGGGACTCTCCCAGCCAGAGTGGATGCCTGGGTGGTGGGATATTCAATCAACAGGCAGTCTTTTCCAGAAACAACCTTAACATCATTCTACAAAATCAATGCCCAACCACACATACATGATCTAACCTTTCCTTCAGCGAGGTGAGTCACTATGTGAATAACTGGCAGTGAGAAAGGTTTCACGCTCAACTCTTCCTGATCAGTCCAGGTAAGTGAAGCTGCAGATGTCCACGGGCCAAGAGAAAAGTTGTCAGAGGTCAATATGAGGCAGGTCAGGAAAAACACTGGCAGGTAGAAAGGATTGGAATGGTGTGTCCAAACCCTGAAAATCAGCCCCTTACAATTTTCTCTGGCCTACTCTCTGCCCAACTGGCCATGCGTATAAACATGGCAATGACCTACATCCAGCCCTGGAACTCCTAACACCTCAAATTTCAACTCTCCCTCAACTCAAGTTGTCTCTGGTCTCACTGCCTGCTCTGGCTTATCTGCACATGCCAGCCCTCAGCCAGTGAGCACCAGCCTTTGGTGTTTGTGTGAATGGCCTTCCTATCCCACCAGACATGTGGCCTTGCCTTCCTCTGTGTAACTCTATGAACAACCCATGACCTAGGCAACTCCTGGCTGAAGTCAGGTAGAGAGAGCGCACACCTGGCAGGGATGCTTTCACTGCTGAGTCATTCACTTAGGCTCTGAGTGTCTTTTTCACT